CAGATAAATCGTCTTAACTAGATATTGATAAACCGGCCCTAAAAGTTGTAAAGCGAATAAAAAAACTCGTTATCCACGACAATGTTTGAATATTTCAGCTGGGTCAAGGTTAGAGTACAATGGTGTGTCATTATCAGTCAAGGAAGGGATTTTCTACTACAATTAGTCTTTACTATAAGTACTACTAATAATGTAGGATTCACTCAAACGTAATATCATTTAATGCTTATTTAACTAATTTACCTAGTTACTAGAAAATAAGCATAAGGTGACAAGAGTTGTCGTACGAAATGAATCACGGGAATTTTCCAAACGAAAATCGTAAAACGACGGAGGTAACAAAACCGCTCGTGCAAGAGGGTTGTCTCATACGCGAGGAATGAGATCCAAAAATGTATGGTATAATCATTTTATGTTAGTCAGTCGAAAATTAGAAACTCTTATTATTCACTTATTTTTTTAAATTAATTTTAAAATCGTTATTCTTTCCTTTTATACGAATTTAATAGAAATATAAATGAGAAATTTTATTAAGGCATTATTTTTAGGTCTTTAAATAATAATCGAAGTTAAATTAGTTAGTTTCTTTTTTAAATATCGGTACTACAACTGTTTCTCTCCAATTCTTTCTATAACAAGTGTATAACCTTAACTGTAACTAATATTTCTCCGTAGATATTGAATGCCATTCAGTTGCTAAAAAAGTTGGTAAATTATTTTGGAGGAAATACAAATATCATACAAATGTATGAATTTTTTAAATAGCGTGTTTTTTTGCAGAAAAACAGGCAATAATATTTTTTATGAAAAGAAAAAGGCAAGTTCTTTTTTTAGAAAAGGTGTGTCAAACTTAATAGACATAAATTTTTTCAACCTTAACTCAATCAAACTAATATTTTTTTCGCAAAACTAATGACTTCTGTTGTTTGATTTGTGAGTTGTATTATTATTATTATTGCTGCCGGGCTGAGGGGAGCGGCCCCTCTCGTTACCGCGACCTATAAGATCTATTGTAACTTTAGCCTTGCAAAAAGGTAAGTTGTATAGTAGCATGCTTCATAAGGAATACATTATTAAAAAAATCACTGTTAAATTGCGAACATTTCTCACTGTAGTACCTAAATTTATGATGTACGGGAGCGATTTTTAACATTTTCAAATGAGGCGTTGAGAATAGAAAGGGTGAATTCAACAAAGTATGATTTTGAGAAAACCCTGTTTTTAATATTTTGCATAAGGGCGGACTCAATAAAATAAATCTTTCTTGATAATATTTTTTTTTAGTTATGACGTAAAAACTCAAATCCGACATTTTCAGTTTTTTAATAAACTGCCTAATGTTATTTAATAGTTTTTAATACTTTAATATTTTCTATCATTACCTATTACTTTTCGCCAAAGATAGATTGTTTTATTTAATTAAAAAAAGATTACTTTATTTTTATTTGATTCAATATAACAAAGAAATTTATTTATTATTCATATTATTTGTTTCTGAAGGATATTGAAGTTTTTCACCAAATCCTGTATGAGACGAACGACTTGAAAAGGTTTTTTTCTTCGACATTTTTGTATGAAATAGACGTAATGGCCTTACTTCTTTTTCAATGTGTCGAAAATCCCGGTCACAAGGTAAAAAGGAATGACCAGGAACCATAAAATAATGTCCAATTTCTGTAAACCTGTTCGTGTGAATGAAGGCTAAATTGAAGAGAACCATGTCAATGTTTTTATTCTGTCCTAGACAAGTATCGCAGAACATTACAACCTTTTTAATATTCTCGCCAATATTAGCTAAATAATTAAACAGGCAGCTCCCTATTTCACAAGATCCACACTTAGCGGTACTTTCATCACACACATACATTGTTGATTGTCTCATCTTAATATTGTGGACACAGAAATTGTAAGTCCACAACTTTCTTTTGTAATACTGAATTCCAGTTGTAAGTTTTGAGGTAGGTAATGCTTGTTGAAGATCGAAAGCTATTGCGAAAAGACTCTCATCAGCATTATTTGTATAGGTACTCATTAGGGTATGAGGAAATTTGGCCTGAGTTAAATGCGTTCTTTTTTCGCTCAAGGCTTGCTATTTCTTCAGTATTTTGCCGTTCATTCATCTTCAAGTTCTTGAGCATAACCTCTGTTTTATCACAAAAATTGTAAATGTCGCTTCCTGGTGGTTGAAATCCGATATTAAAGTCGTGGTTGAAGACGGAGCGGTAATAATGGTCAGCAGTACATTGATAGCTTGGGTAATTTTCTTTAAGCCAGTCGACGTATAATAAATACAGGGAATGTATATTGAGTTCCACAGGGAAGTACTTTCGGTGAGGACTTTTTGCTCGGCTGTAGTGGCTAGAGCCTGTCGGTAAGGAGGAAGTGTGTTCCAATACTTTAGATCGACTATCGGAACTTGTTTTCGTCCCTGGTTCCTTCTTTCCTCTTAGATCGGATTGAACAGTTCCACATGATCGTGTTTTATCCAAAACCACCCGAACACGTTTCTCACTAATACAGTGAATACTGTATAATGCTCTACGGCAAATATGGTATGTTTGGTTCTTACAGATGACAGAGTAAGAAATACGTCTTAACGTTCTGCTTGGGCGGTTTTTAACATAGGATCTTTTTACATCTATACTTTTAACAATTTTTGATAGATAAACGTTCTGCAAGTCGTAATTTCCCATCTTCCAAAATTCATTAAAGATATTATGAATGTTCTCTGCACCTACGTACTCAAAACATTCACAGTCACAAGGAGGGCCAAGTTGATGAGCAGGAACTGGTTTCTTTGTACTTCTGGACGTGTAAGGCTGACCTTCATTCCGCTTCTTTTTGTTGATACTTGATTTCCACATATCGGCATTTTTTGATCTTTTTCGCGGATAACTGTCCATTACACTATCTTCTGCATTTGTCGTAATGCGCAGTAAATAAAAAGAAATGTTTCACAACTTATTTTCTAACAGTAAAACTGTATAAACAATTATAACACTATAACTATCCATACGTATAACTATTCTATCTATACGTTGTTTGACAGCTACCAGTCAACTAAATTAAATAAAAATATGGCCTTCGTGCAGAAAGTAAACACGTGTTGGCTGTTGAGTTAGCCGTTTGTACTTTGTACTTTCAGCCGTATTGCTTAAAATCGAACATCGGTTTTGCTTGATATTCGATTTTCGAAGGGAAAGAAGGGCAAACTTAACATAATTGTTACATAGAACGATTCGTCATCATTCAAATTAATGAAAAATGAAAAAAAAAATTGTTGGTCCGATGTTGAGTTCGTCCTTTCTATTCTCAGCGCCTCAAATATATCTTTTAATATATCTTTTGCCATTTAACTAAGAGACATGGAATATTTACCAGAACAGGTAAATATTGAACACGTTGAATCACTCTGCATAAAGTAGTTCCGTCTTTCATTTTTAAATTCTTTAAAATAACTCGTGTTGTTAGCAACAAAAATTCTTGACGCGATGATGATGCCGCTATCTACTCAGCCTCAGCTGTCGACAAAGCCACACAACGTTGCTGTGAAAACCATGAAATAGTGTTTTTTCCATAAAATACAATATATCCACTGACACTTTTTCTATCATATTTATCTCCAGCCCAATCAGCATCTGTATATCCAATTACTTCTTCTGATAATTTCGTGTATTTTATTTCTTTCTCTTTCGTCTCTTTTAGGTATATCAATATTCTTTTAGCTGCCTTCCATGATCCCTCACATCAGAGGGATCCAGACATCTACTCAACAGTGATGTAGAAAACATAATATCTGGCCTTGAAACTATTACCAGATACATCAAACATCCGATTAACTTGCGATGTGGTACATTATCGAAATTATTTCCATCGAATAAAGGTAAACTACCCTTGGTGTTCTCCATTTTGTAACTATTTTTTTTTCGTATAAAAGTTTTAACTTAACTATTCTTTCTACGACTCCGTGCCTGGGCCCATAATCTGTTGTTAGGTCTTTAAATAATAAATAACCGGTGCCTTCGAAGTTAAATTAGTTTGTTTCTTTATTAAATATCGGTACTACCGCAGTATAACTCTTTCTCTAACAAGGATAAAATCTTAACACACTTGGTTGGCTACGTTCTTGAGTTAGTTTAGCACCAACAATAAAAAGTCCCAACAAGGCAATATATAATAATACTACTTTTCATTTGTAGAAAAGGATTAATTAAATTTAGAATAAGTTGATGTAATATACTATTTTGTTATTGCAAGATTATTGACAACATTTGACATATGAAGTGTTACTTGAATATGTATGTTGTAGTAGACCAGAGTTATTGATGTGTAATAATTGCTGATGGCGTTGATTGGGATCATTTCTCATAACGAATGCCAGCTTGGATTTAAACTAACTTTGTTAATTTTCTAACGAACTGTGAACGAGAAAAAGTGTCTATGAAAATGTTAGGGACAAATTATTAGGACAAATGGTATAGATAGAAGATATGTATGTAGACTATGTACACAAACTTTTTACTTCTTACCATCTTCTTACATAAAAAATCAAAATAATAATATATTATATAATATAATATTACTATTCGTTTTAATATTTATTCGGAAATTTTCCATGGGAATACCGTGTCCATGGACGTCGAAAGCCGAAAGGGGGAGGGGTCAATAATAAAATGCAGAAGAAATAAGAAATTTTCATTATTTTCACTTAATCTGAAAAAGCAAAAACTATTTTTTTTGTAATATCTTATAGATTTTTGCAAGATTTAGTATACTTGGGGATTCAAAAATGATTTTGATACCGAATTGAAGCCAAAGTTATCCTTTTTAAGAATTTATATAGATATTAATATGTTTATAATTGAATTTATGAGAAATTAAATAAAATATCGAACATTGCTTTATTCCAGAATATTTTAAAAAAATCGATAAGATTCAAAATCACAATAATACTTGGAGTCCCAAAAATATTTTTGATTTTAAATATTCAATATTTTTGACTAATTTAATTCAATTTATTTATGATTAATTGTTTCAGGTGTGTGAAAAATGTGAAACTAGAAAATACCCAGTAGATGATCTCTTTTGGAGTGAGATTTCAGTTGCCTCTGTTTCCATCCCATTTTTTAGAAGGTCGTTTAGTTCTTAGATGCGTAGCCGCGATTTTAGATATTTAGCAAACCCACACGGAAATGAGGCTCGACAATACAAAAGATCCTATTCCGGAAAGAGGTAAGTCATTTCAAGTTTTATCGGCCAATATTAATTAAAATTTTTCAGTTACATTTCCGCACAACTCTTCCGTAGCGTTCTAATCGTCAAAGACTTTTGTATCGATAATTGTGTTGTTAGCCTTAATATTCAGATAAATGAAGTTTGCCAAAAAAATATTAATTTTTCGTTATTGTTTCTTTTATATTAGAGGATAATGTTAAATATAAGTAATCAAAAAATTATAAAATTGAGAAGTATGTAAGTTTGTATTATACGATTATAAAGCGAAATAATTAATAATAATTGTGATGTAAAAAAATATCAGAGACTATACGACTAGTCAAAATAAAAAAATAAACGATGTTTTTAGTATGTTTTATGTTTATAGGTTTTGAAAAAATAAAAAAGAACGTACTTAGAACGGTACTTTTCGCCAATTATGTACTACATTTAGTGCACTTTCGGAGTAATAAATGTTTAATTTTCATGTCAGGGTCTTTTATTTTTACCCTTAACCCCAGAAGCGGTTAATATATTGCGATGAACAAATTTAGTCTTTTCGATGTATACTTAGCATGCACAGTTGCTGATCAGTCGTTGTAAATCTACGCAAAGTTTCGCTTTCACACTCCTCAACATTCCAACATTTCTTTCAACAAAACATGTCGTTGATGGAGAATATATGTCAAAGAGAATTTAGACTTTGTCATCCAAAGTCCTTCTTTGCATTCACGTATGCTATAGTACTTTGGCAATTCGTATATTAGAGGTGCGGTGCGGTTTATTTTCTCCGCGACCTTCAAATACATAAAGTTTCTTACCCCTATACATTCAGGTAACAATAACAATCAAGTTTCAACTATATGCAGCTAATGCAGCAAGATTTTCTAAAGGTAAGATGTACTGATAAAAGATCCATACTCTGCAAGAATCGTTTCAGTTGATCCGTTTGGTAAAAGTACCACTTCCAAGCTACTATTAGTCTTTATGAACTTTATCTCAGACTTTATTGCAAGGTCCATATAGGAGATTAGTTATAATCTATATTTATATCAAACAGTCCATTTTATCAAAAGACTTATCTTCCAGATAAGTGATAGACTCTTAATTAACACTTGAGGGGAAAGCGAAACATAACTTTGTTAAACATCTATGGATAAAAGAATATTCAACCTGTTCAGACAACCTGCACGATGGATCGATTTGCTAATACCTCCATTTTTATCAACTTATGTGATGGACATTTCTAAAACCATTACACACTAGATGTGTCAGGACAGATGAGATATATTAAAAATTACCACAGGTGGTACCTTCTGTTACCACCTCCAATCTTTTTTAAGGCTAGCCAAAGCGCATTACTCGTTGTTGCGAAACTGGTTATAAGTTGCTATAAGATAAACAAAATCCTCTTCAAGTTTGGCGAGAATACCTTTGTGCTATACTTGTGCTGTAGGCGACAAGTTGCTTAAACATTTTTGTCTCACTTTACACTCTGTGAAATCTCAGTATAAGAATCTTCTAACATAAGGTGGAATCGCCGAGCACGGATTGTATTAGAAAAGCACCTCTGAATACCTCTGAATATTACCTACGAATATATGTATGCGAGTGATATAGCTATTTCAAACACATTTCAATGTCACAATAGTGACATGTGTTTGAAGCTATAGTATCTGTACAGAGAATTTGGCATTTATTATCAAGAATTCAGTCTACTACAATTACGTTCCAATTAATATATTTAGTGTGGTATACAGGATGGTCCATTTAACGTGAGACATGCGATTATCTCGAAAACGGTTCATTTTACATAAAAATGAACCAAATATGAGAAGTTGTTCTGTGTGAAGGGGGAAACCATATGCTATAACATTTTTTGACCTTGACCTTATTTTCAAGGTCATATGAAGGTCACGACCAAATTTTTAAATAGCAACCTATGTTTTTGATTGCAAAATGTGAATCTATGGATAAGAGTAAAATAATTAAAAAAAAAAAAATTACCGTGTGATTTTGCCAGTATGACGGGGAAACACCTTTTGTAGATAAAATCTAAATAATTTTTGTATTCAACCTCTTTCCAAAGGTATTTTCGACGAGCCAGGTTACCCGATGTACCTCTTCTGGATTTTTTTGTTGAGTATTCTTAAACAGAGTAGTGTGGTAGTATTTGCCGTACTATAGAGCTTTCGAAAAATTAGTACTGGGGATGATCTGCAAGGCGCTGAATAAGACGCTTTTTCTTTATTAACGTTAAGCTGTCGGATTTATTTTGTATCCTTCATCAGAACATTACAGTCTACAATAAAAATTCACTGAAACAACAAAATTGAGGTTAACCTCTAAAACTTACGAAAAGAACGCACAAACGGGTGTAAACAGCCCATCACAAATGGAGGTTTACCGAAAGCAAGGTATTGAATGAAGTCAAACTGAGTTAACATGTTAAAACTAAAATTTTAGAACGGACCGAACTAGAAGTCAACGTGAACAATGCAAGTCGGTGTGACATAACCTAGAAATCACGAAAAACCGCGGGAGTTTTCCACTCAATCCAGGACTGCCAACCAACAAAAACATGAAGGAAAGTAATGAAGGAAACTGTAAACCCAAGCGGTCAAACGGAAACTAACAAATACGTTAAGGAGACGAGATGTAAGGGGAAAAAAGAGACCCTAAAACGAAATTTCAGAGAAATCACCACTACGCACCATATCCTTCATAGAAAGTGTATACCTGTAAATAACACTGAGGTTTTGAATGTCTGTTCTTGAGTTAACGGACGCAACCTCTTGGTTTATGGAGACCATTTCAAGAAAAAGACATTTCTTGAATTTATTTTCTTGAAACAAGCTGGAGGTATCACCGAAATCAAATCTATGACCTGTATCAATGTAATGGTTGACTAGTGCCGATTTGTTAACTCGAAGATTTCTACAGTCAGCTTCCTGCTGCTGGACTCTTTTTTTTAAATATTGTGAAGTGGTCCCTACATATGAAGCACAGGGAATCTTATAAATAACATTAGATTTAAGATCTGTGGGGGTAGGGTCTTTCAAGTTAAAGAAGTGGCAACGAAGAGGTCTATAATTAAATTTTGCTTTCTTGGCATAGTCCGTGTGTAACAATTTGGTCAACTTAGGGGTAAGTTGAGGAATGAAGAGCAGAAGTGAGAAACTGGGTCTCTCTTCAGTTGTGGGGGGACTTGTTAGAGATGTGTCCAGTCTTCTGGGAATTGAATATAATAGTCTATTTACTAGTGGTCTACGAAAACCGTTGTTGCAGAACATATTGGTCAACGAATGAAGGTTTTTTCCACAAAACGGGGGTGACAAATCTTCCTGATTCTATCCCTCATGGCAACAACCGTATTAGTTTTTTGGTGTAACGGGTGATTAGAATAAAAGTTAATGTAATTGTAAGAATTGGTGATTAAATCATCCATCACTATCTGGGCCAATATCGGGCTGAAGGGATTGCCCATCGGAGTACCAAACAATGGTTGATAGAATTCTCTCTGAAAGGAGAATGTGGAAGACGTGAAAAGAAATTTGATAATCGCCATAAAGAGATTTTTTACTATGGGTGTGTGTGGAGCCACAAGGACCTATTCTCAACTGATAATGTGGGTAACTAAGTTCATAGGTATATTCGTAAACAGGGAAACCACGTCCAATGAAACCAAAACGTGGTCCAAAGGGAGCTTGATCTTGGTAACCTCCTCTATGAAGGTATAAGAGTCTTGTATGTTGAAAAAAGTCCAGTTGCTGAAGGCAACGGAGAGAATATACGACAAATACTTCGACAAGGCATACGTGGGTGAGCCAACAAAGGAGATGATTGGTCTGATAGGACAACCTTCTTTGTGCACCTTAGGAAGGCCATATAACTTCGGGATAACCCCATTATGGCAACTTAGGGTTTTTGCCATTCTAGTGTCGATGCAATGCAGCTCTTTCAAGTTCTGTATGAATTTATTATTTTTAATTTGTGTAGAGGTTGTAGGATCCTTGGGGAGCTTCTTATAAGTAGCTTCATCAGAGAGGAGCACCATGGCTTTTTGAAGGTACATGGACATGGTAATGGCAACTATGCATTGACCCTTGTCAGTCGGTGTGATGATGACCGGATCTGAGGGATCACAATTCTTCAAAAACCTGGAAGTCTCTCTTTCTATACTCAATATAAATTTATCTGTTTGGGAGAAGGAAGTGGCATCTCTAACTAAGTTGGTAAGTATATTTGTGATGCCTCCTCTTACTAAATCGGGGTCGGAGAACTTAGATACCTCTATCGTTTGTTCGATGTCACCTATGAGGCAAGGAACGGAAAGATGTTTGGGTTTAACCTTCGGTCCCAATAAAAGGAGCAACTTTACATTGGTGGGTGGTTCAACATTCGTGAGGTTAACAAAACCAATTATCATTGTTATTACACACATTTATGGGGGATTTTTATTTCAAATTATTGAATTTTTTAGTGTTAACGTTCTTAACTTTATTAAATATTTGAATTTTCTGTTAAGTCTATTATTGAATTCCCTTAACAACTTGGGGGGTAACAATTGCTGGAGTTTAACATTATTCTTGTCTATCGAGCGTCTAATAGATTTTACGATCCTGAAGGTAACTTTAATTTCAAAACAATACCTTAGTATGTTTAAAAATTGTTGAAAATGTTTAAAAATTCATAAATCTTATTTGTTCTTGCTACATTATAAACGTTAGTTAATTGTTTCTGAAGAAGTTTAAATTTTGTTCAAAAGATGTTTTGCCGTTGTACTGGCAAAACCACACAGTAAAATTTTTTTATTTTTTTTTAATTACTTTATTTTTATCCACAGATTCAGGTTTTACAGTAAAATATATAGGGTGCCATTTAAAAAATTGGTCGTGACTTTCATATAACCTTGAGAATAAGGTCAAGGTCAAAAAATGTTATCGTCACATGGTTTCCCCCTTCGCACAGAACAAATTTCATTTGGTTCATTTTTATGTAAAATGATCCGTTTTCGAGATAATCGCTTGTCTCACGTTAAATGGACCACCCTGTATACCACACTAAATATATTAATTGGAACGTGATTGTAGTAGACTGAATTCTTGATAATAAATTCCAAATCCTTTGTACAGATACTATAGCTTCAAACACATGTCACTATTGTGACAGTAATATTAAATAGCTATATCACTGGCATATATTCGTAGGTGATATTCAGAGGTGTTCAGAGGTATTCAGAGGTGATTTTCTAATACAATCCGTGCTCGGCGATTCCATCTTAGAAGATTCTTATACTGAGATCTCACAGAGTGTAGAGTGAGACAAAAAAAATAAATCAACCTTTTTCAAAATGTAATTAAAACGATTTAATTAATCGTAAAATAGTACTAAAATTCATCTTCATTTTTGAAATCACATTGATTAAAATTTATAAAGTTACCTTTATACATCGATTTAATGCTCAAAATGATGACCATTCACTTC